CATCCAGACAATGGCATACTAACCAGCACTAAAAAAAAAAAAGAAAAATGAGCTATCAAGCCATAATAAGACATGGAGGAATCTTAAATGCATACTACTAAGTAAAAGAAGCCAATCTGAAAAGCCAATCATACCTACTGTATGATTCCAACTAGATGACATTCTGAAAAAGGCAAAATTATAGACAGTAAAAAGATCAGTGGGTGGTAGAGGTTGGGAGGAGGAAGGCATGAATAAGCAGGGGACAGAGGACTTTTATAGCAGTGAAACTATTCTGTATGAAACTATAATGGTGGATATATGTCATTACACATTTGTCCAAACCCACAGAATGTACAACACCAAGAGTGAACCCTCATGTCAAATGAGTAATAACGATGTGTCAATTCAGGTTCATCAGTTGTAACCAATGTGCCACTCTGGTGTGGAATGTTTAATGTGGGGGGCATTGTGCATGTACAGGGGCAGGAATATATGGGATCTCCGTGTTTCCACTCAATTTTGCTAAAACTACTCTTAAAAATAATGTTTACTACTTTTTTAAAAAGTAGAAAAATCACATCATTTAGTTAAAAATGTTTAAATAAATTAATATAAACTTCAAAATAAGTAAGTAAAATAAAAAGAGTAGGCAAACTCAGTATAAAACTATAGGTCAGAGAGCTGCCCTGCAAACTGAGGTGTGGGAAAACCAGGAGACTGAACTACACAGGCCCCAGACCCATGGCTGGTTCCCTTCATGCCAGTGGTTCAAATATCAGACTCCACAGCTGACCTACATGGCAAAACAGACACCACCACATCTCGCCCCAGAGATCTGAAAGGACCATGTGTGGGTCGGCATCTCTCCTGAGTCACACAGGACGAATCACTCTCTGTAACAAACACCCTGGTTTACTGGCCTTTTCCGCCACACTAAAGTCACATGAAAACTGCTTTCAGGAATCAAGGTTAAGTTCCTAATTAACGCAATGGTATAATCCTTGGGGCTCAGCTCAGCCCTGACTCCAGGGCTATTCCGAATCCCATAATCTACACTACTCCCCCATATCACCTCCTGGATTAAAATTTTTAAAGTTCTCAGCAAGAAGGGTGGTCAATGCTTACCACTTTCAGGCAGAGAAGAAAACAGGCCAGTATACTGGCACCTCAGCAGCAGAACTACCAATTTTTAGAGTGTGCTAACATTGCCCACGTAGAATTATGGGGAGGTAGATGCTGAAAGGCAGACAGTCAAATGTGGCAGAGTCCCCTAGGCATTTATCCAATTAATTTGAAAGCTTATGTGCACATAAAAGTCTGCATATGAATCTCTATGGCAGCTTTATTCATAATCATCAGAATCTGGAAATAATCAAGATGTCTGTGAATAGGTAAATGAATAAACTTTGGTACATCCATATTATAGAATATTGCTCAGCAATAAAAAATGAGCTATTATGCCACAAAAAGACATGAATGAATCTTAAGTACATATTGCTAAGTGAATGAATCCAGTTCGAAAAGCCTGCATTTTCTGTGATTGTAATTACATGGCATTCTAGAAAAAGCAAAACTATACAGGCAGTAAATAGACTAGTGGTTGCTAGGGGCTTGGGAATAGGATTTGGGAATTAAATAGATGAAGCACAGTGGACTATTTAGGACAGTGAGATTATTCTGTACAATACTATAATGTAAGTATAGGACATTAAGCATTTGTCAAAAACCCATAGAACTTTATAGCACGAGAGTAAACTTAAATGAATGCAATTTAAAAAAAAAAATCACTCAGTGGGAGGGCAAGGGCAATCATTCCCAGGATGTAATGTAAAATGTGACCCCCAAAAATCAAAAACCCAAATGTATTACAAATGTATGAAATAATCTCACTGAAGGAAGAAAGTAAGGTGCTAACAGAGGTAACTTTAGAAATCAGTGGAGTTATGTTTGCCACAATCTAATGGCAAAAATAACTATACATCAGTACTATACGATAGCTGAAAAGTTGTTTCCAATGGGGGTATGGATTAGCGATTCTGATACTACTGTACGCATACACTTTAGCAAATGGGTGGTGGCAGAGGGGTTTCTAACTGCTTCTGGGGGATGTTACAGATAAGCAGGGGAGGAAGCTAGAATGATTTATGTAATATGGATCAGAATTGGAGATATCAGTTCAAACTTATGTTTATCTTAATATAGATAGCTATAGAAATATTCATGGGAATTTGTATATTTAAGAGGTAGCATACACACATATTTCTTTGCTCTATCAGCTGAGAGGGCCCAAATGCAAAAACATTCCAGCAGCAACTAACTGACTGCCTCCACCCCCACACCTCCCATCCTACTGTCTACCACCATGCCTTCAACAAAAGGAGTCAGGGCTCTTTGCAGAAATGCTGGATTCAGGAAATACACCAGATAAGCCTGGAGTACTGTGTTGTGTCAGAAAGTTAAAGCATGCTTAAAACAACCAACAATGATGGGCAAAGGGATACAAGAGCCAAATCAAAAACAATTTGAGCAATGAAATAAGGAAGTACTTATAACACAAGGTATAGCTGGCATGGTGGCTCATGCCTGTAATCCCAGCACTTTGGGAGGCCAAGGCAGGTGGATCACAATGTCAGGAGTTCGAGACCAACCTGGCCAACATGGTGAAACCCTGCCTCTACTAAAAATAAAAAAATTAGCAGGACGTGGTGGTGCATGCCTGTAATCCCAGCTACTCAGGAAGCTGAGGCAGGAGAATCGCTTGAACCTGGGAGGTGGAGGTTGCAGTGAACCGAGATCGTGCCACTGCACTCCAGCCTAGGCAATAGAGTGAGCCTCCATCTCAAAAAAAAAAAAAAAAATAAAAGGCAAAAAATAAATATTCATTACTCTTTTTTTACAAAAAAAAATAAATGATTGAATAAAGCAATAAATGGGAGATGACATACAAATCTATGCAGAAGAATTCCAAATACTTGACGCAGACACTCTGCCCTTAAGGAGGTAGAGTATAACTTTCCACTCTGTAAGTGCAGACCACACATAAGGACTTTTTTCCAAAAAGTACTGCATGGAAAGAAAACAGTAACTTTGCAAATACCATCTCAAGCCAGGTGATCAAAGTTAACATCAACAGTGATAAGTCATATTGATAGTATGTACCCTTGAAATTAGATGATGAGAATGGCATCTTACCATCTGTCTTTCTCCCAAAATCATGAGGAAAACATCAAATTCCAGTTAAAGGAGGTTCTACAAAATAGGCCTGACCAGTAATCCTCAAAATTGTCAAGATCACCAAAAATCTGAAAAACAGTCTCAGCCCAGAGGACACTAAGGAGACATAAGAACTAAATGCTGTCCCAGACAAGATCCTGGAACAAAAAATGAACACTAAGGGAAAACTAAGGAAATATGAAAAAGTATGGATTTTAGTTAAAAAGAATATATCAATATTAGTTCATTAATTCTAACAATTGTACCATACTAACATTAGATGCTGATAATAGGGGAAGTTCGGTATTGGGTATATAAGAACTCTCTGTACTATCTTTGCAATAATTCTGTAAATCTAAAACTGTTTTATAATAGAAAGTGTATTTTACAAAAAGAAAAAAGGGCAGGGGCCAGGCGTCATGGCTCACACCTATATTTCCAGCACTTTGGGAGACTGAGGCAGGCAGATCACTTAAGGTCAGGACCAGCCTGGGCAACCTGGTGAAACTCCATCTCTACCAAAAATATTAGATGGGTGCAAAAGTAATACGTTTTTTGTCATTATTTTCAAAGGCAAAAATGCAGTAACTTTTGCACCAACCTCTACAAAGAAATTAGCTGGGCATGGTAGCACCCACCTATGGTCCTAGCTACTGAGGGGGCTGAGTGGGAGGATCACTTAAGCCTGGGAGGCAGAGGTTCCAACTAGCCAAGACTGTACCACTACACTTCAGCCTGGGTGATAGAGTGAGACCCCATTCCCCTAAAACAGAGAGAGGGGGAGAGAGAGAGAGAGAGAGAGAGAGACTCCTACTGAGCAAGGGTGAACTTATACTTAGTTAAAAATAACACCCAACTGGCAGGCAGAGAAGTTAGTTGCCTGAATAGCAAAATCTCAAGGCTCAGTCTCAAAATCAGCATAGTTATTTAAATGATTCATGATCTTCCATTGGTTAATCTATGCAAAACCTTGAGATGGAAAAAAAAAAAAAAAAAAAAAGCAAAGCAAAAACCTTCCTCATCTGACAGAAGGGAAAGGACATACATATACCAAAGAGTTGGCTGGGTCACAGAAAATAGCGATATATGCCAATAATCTCAAAAGGCCACCTGCTGACATTCCACTTAAACCATCTGCCTCATCAAGATTATTCCTGTAGGCCACTAGTTTGCAATGTTAAGTAATTTAGCAACACAGAGTCATGGCCACCTAGAGGATTTCAATAGCAAAGCCATCATGTGGACTTGGGGCGCACCTACTCACAGGCCCACACTCCCTACTCCAGACCGGGATAGTCATTCTCCTGTGTCAGGGAATGATATGCATATAGAAAAGTCTCTGTGACTGCCATTTCTCAAAATTCAAACAAAGCCAAGGTGCTTATGATATATGTTTCTACTGCTACAGCTACGCTGCCACTCACAAAATGTGAAAATTTAAGATATGTTCTTCTCCAGTATAGGCTCCCCAAGTTTCCTCTTCAGTTGGAGGAAACTGGGTTCATCTGAACTTGGACTTCTGGTTTGCTTTACAAAGAGCTCTCGCTAGTGATGGGTAAAAGATAGTGGGTAGGCTAAGTAAGGCCTGGAGAAGTTTCTCCCACGGAGCATGTCAGCATCTTCCCATGTAATACCATCAAGCATCTCACTGGCTGAAGCCCCTACCTTGGGGCTACTGAATGGATTTCTTGGGAATGACACCTTTCCATTTAAAGGGTTGAAGAGGCTTAAGGAGGAAATATAGGGCCTGAAAAGGGTGGTATGGGAGAACGTCCTCAGCTTTTCTTCATTGCACAGGGAGATTCCACGAAAGGGGAAAGGCTGGCACAACTGGTTGTTCTATGGCCACAAGGAGAAGCATGACAAGAGAGAAGAGAGGCCACTAGATGGAAAGAACTCTCAGGAGAAGAGTGGAGGACCAAATTGGGGAGTTAGGTGAGAGGAGACGAGTTCAGACAGAGAGGTTGGAGAGCCTGATGAAAGACCTCAACAAAGGGTGAGGTCCTAAGAGCTTACTTACAGGATCCTTAGTCCCAGAAGCTTCTGAGTTCAGGGGTGGGGATGGCTGAGACAAAGATTAGAGAATGCAAATTCTGCAGGAGTGAAGACCGGTACAGAAGCGAAGTGCAGGAAGAAGCCGCTGAGACAAGAAGAGATGGCTGAGACCTGGACCAAAGCGGAAGCGGTTGAAAGAGGGAGACACGCGGTCTAGGAGATGCAGGCAGAATACAAGACTATGATGAGCAGCCTCACAACACCAGGGTTACATGACCCTTTCCAATAACAACAGCACGGGGACAGAAAGTCATGTGTCATTCCTTATAAAGCAGAAAGTACAAGGGACCTGAATTCTATCCAGAACTGCTGTCCTGTGGGATCCAGAACAAGCCACAGCATTTCCATGCTTCAGGTTCCTTTCCAGAAAAGGAGCATGACAACCCTGAACTCTGCACCCTCCTGCTCCATCCCTTTTGGTTAATGCCTTGAGTCACACTTGGAGTATTTGCAGTGACAGTGCTGAGTGTGCTGGGATGAGCTCCACCCCTGTAGCTACCGTTTCTTCTCTTCCTTGGTTTCTTAGCCCTCTTCCTTTCTTTTCTTTTCCTGCCTGCCCATTCTAATTTCCTCCTCTTCTTCCCTCTCCTCATTTTTAAACTAACCTGTTCCTGCTCACCTGTATTTATTGATTTTAATACAACTTTTCTTGATAAACATGTATTAAGCAAGTATCTAATGAAAGAAGCCATGTAGCTTACTGGTTGAGGACCTGGATTCAGAAGACAGAAGGCCCAGGTGAACCCCCCGCTCTGCTGCTTCCTACCTGGGTAGTCTTAGGCAAGTTACTCAGCCTAGATCCCAGTTATCTCATCTGTAAAATGGGGCTAATAACAGCACCTCCCTCCAAGGGCTTTTGTGAGGATCAGCCAAGATGATTACATGTGTAGTGCTTAGAATAGAACTGGCATGGAGTGAGCACTCAGGAATGTCAATTATTACTACCCTAGGCACTGAGCTCTATGCCTTCAGGGGACACAGGTGACCAACACAGGGTCACCGACCCTTAGGTAGTAACTCTGTTGAATAAGAATAAACAGCAATCATAAAAACAATTATAACACAAAATGAGGTAAAGTACTTGAAGAGAAATGCAGAGAGGGTGTCTGACTTCAAAGAGGCACACTATGGGTGAGAGGAATCAGGAAAGATTTCGTAGCAAAGGTTTTCATTTGAAATGGGCTTTGAAGAACAGAGACCAGAGAGGCAGGAAAGAGAGGGAGGAAATTCCAGGGAAAGCGAAAAACATAAAGGTAGAATGGCCAAGTGAATGGGAAGACTTTTAAGAAATTCAGTGGGGCCAGAGAACTGGGTTTCTGTATGGCAATGATAGAAAATGAGTTAGACAGTCACAGTGAAGCGAGACTGGGAGGCCCTTACCCGCCTGCTGTGGACTCCATATTTCATTCACAGGCAATGGGAAGCCACCGAAAGTTTTTAAGTAGAGACATGATGGACCTCACACTTTAGGAGCTGGCATGCTGGGTAGACAAGAGTAGCCCTCCAGCTCTACCAATGCACAATCTCCTCTGTGAGGACAGACGGACTCATGCCACACACATACAGTAGTCCTGTATGCACACTGAGGAGAAACTCCTCTCCAGAGATAAGGGCACTGGATTCTTAAAGGAGCTGTCTAAGTGCCCAGCCATACAATTAAATGCAGGGGTGTGGGAGAATGGATTTCTTAAGTGCAAATCATAAATCAATATGATCTCTTTCAATAAACAATTCAGCTACTGACTCCTCAACAGTCCCCTAACAGGGTGCAGTTGTTAAATTTAAAGGCAGCCAAACTCTTACTTAAATTAAGTGTCATCCCTACTAAATGAAGACCAGATGTGCAAGCCAAGAAATCTAATCAAGTTGGAAGAAAGGATTTCTGTAAAAGAGAAAACCAGGGGAAGGAATGGGATTGGTCCGAAAACAGCAGGTGCTGAGGAGAAAAGTCAAGCCAGGGCTCCAGATCAAATAGGGCCATTTGGCAAGGAAGGGCAGAGAGCTGCCCCAAAGCTCATGTACTGCTAAAAAAACCTGCTATTCTCAAAGTGCTGATGTTCAGTCAAATGGAAGCGGCATCTGGTACCCTGCTAGGCAGTTAGAATCCCACCAATCTTTCAGAAATCCCCATCAAGGGAGCAAGACATTTTATTTTAACCTCAAAGTCCAATGCTTAGAAGATTGCCCAGCATGGCTCCCCAGGAGGCACAGAATCTTTGGATGTACTTCTCATGCGAGGCAGAACCAACCCAACACAAACCTGGCCTGGTTTAGGCATTCAGGACTGAACCAAGCCAGACTTCACTTCAATCCCTCGCTGCCTCAGCCCCTTAAGCCTCTTGTTCAACAAGGAACAGTGACTTACTACAACATTGAAAGAACTTAATGGAGACTTGAAGCCTGTCTTCTATGTACCATCTTTACCAGGACCTCATATTAGTCTTTCAAAGGAGAAAGAAAGGGAGAAAAGGAAAGGGGAAGGGAAGGAGAAAGAAAGAAAAAGAGCAAGAAAAGGAGAGGAAGACAAGGGGAGAAGGAAAGAGAAACAACCCCCTGCCCACAAGCCTCAGCACAATGACAGCTTGTGCATCAATTGCACATGGATTTCTAGGTCTTTGCCCTTCCAAGTGAGCAGGCAACGTCGGCCAAGGACCCTACTGCCATATTCTCCCTCTGAGCAGCCCGATCGTGTTTATCAGCTGTTTCCGCAACTGTAGTAGCTGATGTCACAAAGCCTGGCTGAGGACCGAAGAGAAACAGGTTGGTTTGGAAGTTCGTATCTGAGCAGACTGGCTCAACCAGAAGTCCAGAAAAGTGTAGATAGGATGGGACCAGCTTCAACACGATGGCACTAACACAGACTACTGAGGTCTCTGCACAGAGAGCCCTGAAGGAGAGATCACAGCTGCACTCTGCAGGTAACACTCCATGATCAATGAGCAGAGAATCCCAAAGGAGGTGATTTAGTAATGATCTCTATCAGCCCTACAGAGGCAGCATCATGGTCAGAAGACTTAGTTTTGGAGCCTGAATCCTGGCCATTCATTGCCTGTGTGACCAGGTTACTGAACCTCCTCTCCATAAAGTAATTATGAGGGTTCAGTGAGTTGCTACAGGCAAAATGCCTAGAACGGCACCTGTTATATAAAAACTAACATCAATATAGACTTGCTATTTTCACCGGTATTTTTTTTGACTAGCCGCTTAAATTCTGACGCGTCTCACGTTGAGTTATTAGTGTCACCTAAAAGAAATAACACCAGTTCCTCACTATTTTTTTCCATGAAATGACTTTTAGGTTCATACCTCGGAAAAACTGGGGAGACAGTAAGTCAAATTCTAAAATATTAGCAAGTAATATACGCCCAGAGCAATTCAAACTGTCTCTTTTCCCGGCTCTCCTGGGTCAGGATAAACAAAGATCCACTTGGGTCCACAAGTCACAAAATGAAGCAGCAGGGGATGGGATGATTGTCAATAGCATACAATGTGAATGACGACTATGTCTTAGAGACTCAGGAGAGACCCCCTGAGACAGCAGGACTGCCCCAAGAGCCTGAGCCTGATGGAGGGAAAGGAAAGGGACAAGTGACCTCCACCGGGAAATGGGTTGCCCAGGCACCTCCCTCAGCCCCACAACAACCCTGGAGCCAGGGCCAGGCGATGATGTTGATCAAGTCCTGACCAAGCAGGGAGTCAAACCAGGGACTCTTGGCCCAGAGCCCAGCTCTGCCTATCGTGGGAGGGGAGGACGCTGCCTTTTCCCGGGCTCAGGCAGCTGCGGAGAGAGGCTGAGTAAAAGGGAAAAGATCACGAATGACTGTTTTCTGTAGGAGAAAGCCTGGGTGTACACTCCACCTATTTAACAAGCCCTCAGGCAATGAGACGATTAACAGCCACAAAGAATGCCAAATCCTCTCAGGATGGTTAGTGGTTAAGGAGACACGTAAATTGCTAATATCACATTAACAAGGGTGATTCCAACTGGTTAGAGAGCAGGGTGAGCTCTTTGTGGAGAAGCAATTTGCGTTCCCACCACCAACCTTCATGCAGTTAAATGACTCTCCAGTGAGGCAGAGACTTAGTGCAGCAGGAGAGAGTAAGGAACAGCAGCTGCCCCATTATTTTTTACATTCATTAAATGTCAAACGGCTGGGTGCTGAACAGAATACCCAGAGGCAGCAGGGCTCTGCTTGGTAGTTTCCAACCTGGACCTGATGGATACACCAGATTCAGCCAAGGGGCACCACCAGGAGAGGAGCTTCCACCCAGCAAGGGTCCCTGACCAAAAGGGTTTGAGCTGCCAATTCTCGCTGCCTTCCGGGCCTAGCCACCATGCAATAGGGATGTAGAGAGAAGGTGCAGGTGTCCACTGGGTATTTACTATGTGCCAGGCACGGTGCTAAGGACCTGACACCCATTATTGCATTTACTTCTAACAGGGTTGACATTGTCCATTTTACAAAAGAATTAGCAGTTGAGTAATTCACCCCTTTGCTGTCAAGATGAATGTCAGAGTCCCTGCCCTCAAAAAGACAAATACACTGTAATGAATGTGGAAACAAAGGTCTCTCTAGAGTATAATGGTAACACAAAAGCAGAGGAAACTACTCTGCAGGCTTCAGAAAAAGCTTCTAGATGGGATGACAGCTCAAACAGGCTCTGGAGGACAATCAGAAGTTGGGCTGAGGTTTGAAGAGACAGACTTCAGCTGCACTGGGAGAGGAGTGCCTCCCAGACAGAAGGAAGGCGGGAATAGAGGTGGCTCCAACAGAACATATGCAGGGCACAAGGCACAGTAGACCTATAATATGCTGCTGTGGCCTCAGGTGCCTGGCAGAACACCACATGCCTTGCTCTGAGCTCAGACTCCAGCCTGGAATCACCACATGGTTTTAAAGCAGGACAATGCCTACAGAATCCCCCTTACACAGATGAGCCAGGCAGCAGTGTCGAGGATGGTGGGAGGGCACAGCCATTGCACAGTGGCAGTCTGGAGGGCACTGCAGCTGTCCGTGAAACACGACAGTCCGGGGCTGCACTGGCAGGAAGGAATAGGGAGAGACATAAGTGAGAAATATTTAGGAGGCAAATCTGTAAGGGTGACCTAAGCCAGGGGTAGTGACAGAGAAGAAAGGTGACCCTGAGGTTTCCAGCATACATTCTTGAGTGGCCAAGATGTCTTTCCTTAGGATAAGGAAACATGAAAAACAAATGCATGTTTGTTTGCTTTTTCAAAGCAAAGAGGAGAGACTGCAGAAATCACTTCAGTTTCTTGACATATTGAATTTAAGGTGCCTTTGGGATATCCAAATGGGGGTGTCACACAGAATATACAAGTTTCAACCTCCAAAAAGAGGTTTATAAAATCAAATAATGGCCTTATTTACATCTAGTGCTATACACTGCCTGGCAGTGTTCCCAGACTGGAGAAAGGCACAATCAGGGACACAGACGATGCTGCCTGGACTGACGTTTGGTAAAGCAGAGGCTGTCGGCATGTTCTTACAGGATCTCTGAGCCAGACGTAAGCAGACCGGAGTCTTACCTTGCTTGCATCCCACAACCATACCATGTTCAAGCTCAGGAGTGAATCCTAGATTCCCCACTTACCACCTCTGTGAGCTATGGCAAGTTATTTGGTACCTCAGTTTCCTCATCTGGACAATGGGATGATGATTACACCTACACCACACAGAGTTGTTATAGGATCAAATAACAAATCTTGTTAAGTGCTTTGCATAGGACTCAACACAGTAACAGTACATAGTGCAATTTGTACTCAACTCTGGTTAATACCGATAAGAACGACAATGTAATTAGTTTAAGGGGGTCATTTTCTTTCTGTGACCCTTATCTGTAAAATAAGGATAATGCCTGCTTTTTATGGGATTACGGAAGACTAACATTAGATGACAGTGGATGTGAAAATTCACTTAAACAACTAGAAAGTGCTTCATAAGTAAGAAATCAGGACCTTTCATCAGGGATCGTAAGAAAGAAATCGGAGCCTTTCAGAGGTTTGCCCTCCCTGCCGCTCGGGTCTTCAGTGTGTGCTGCCACGGCTTTCTGTCTTTGTCCTATAATATGCTGCTCTTGGCTCCAAGAGGAAACGTGCCACACACTGGAGCCTGTGTAATATGCTGAGTACAAAAAGTCACAGAAGAGAATACTATTCAGCCATAAAAAGGAATACACTTTTGATACATGCCACGGCATGGATGTATCTTAAAAACATTATGCTTAGTGAAATAAGCCAGACACACAAGGACAACTATATAAGATTTCACTTATATGAGGCATCCAGGCTAGGCAGATTCATAGAAATGTAAGATGGAACAGCGGTTACCAGGGACTAGGGGAAACCAGAGCTACTGTTTAATGGGTTCAGCGTTCATATTAGGAAGGATGAAAAAGATTAGGGTATAGATAGTGGTGATGGATACAAAGTAGTGTGAATGTATTTAATGCCACTGAGTTGTACACTTACAAGCGATTAACATGACAAATATTATGCTGTGTGTGTGCATATACATATGCATGTCATAGAAGTCATAAAAACAAAAAGTAGATGTTCAATGCAACCTGTTGCCAACACCAAGAACATGAACCAAGAGGTCCCTAAAGGCTGGCTAGTGTAGCAGCGAAAAGTGACATTCTGCATATCATCCTATTACAATGGATAAACACTGTTGGCTTCAGAGGACTCCCAAAATTAGGTGGGTCAGTGCAAGAAACTGTGGACTGAACGGGGCAATATCAAAACCTCCCGTGGAAACTCACACACTGCTCAATGACTATAATAAAGCAAGGCACCTTATTTAAAAGCTAGCATGTGTTTCGCTTTGATAACAACTCCCGATTCTTACTAACTCTTCTCTGCTGACAGATAATGCATTCAGCAGTTCTGCTCCAGTTTAAAATTCATTCCCAAATCACTTCACCTCAAGAGCAGAACCAAACTCCTCCTACTAAGTGACTTTTCAGTCTGGTGCAGATTCAGGAAAAGATAAATATATTTTCCATTATGTATTCAGTAGGTACTTAGCAAACCAGATTCTCTTGAGGTGTGAGTCCTGAGAATAAAATCCTAGAAATAATCGATCACTCCCTCAGGCTCACAAGTCTCCATTCACACTAGCCTTCTTGCTATTTCTTGAACCTGCAAAGCCCATTCCTGCCCCCAGGGCATTGGCACTTGCTGACCTCTGTCTGGAACACTTCCTCCAGATACCCACATGGCTCACTCCCTCTCTGCATTCACATCTCTAGAGACTCAAGTGTCATCAGAGCCCAGAAGCCTTCCGAAACAGTCTGTGTAAAAGAGCACCCACCCCTATAAACTCCACATAGACAGGGACTTTGTTTTGTAGACTGCTGTATCCCCAAAGCCTAAAACAGTGTTGGCTCAAAAAGGGATGTCCATTTATTTTTTCAAATGAGTGGGGAAAAAATTAGGTCCTGCTGTCTGGGCCCTGCTCTTTATATTGATGAGAATACCTTGTCCCCTAAGAAAGCATTGATTTGTTTCCTTTGGCTGAGAAGAAGACAGTTCTAACCATTCCATCACACACTGCTCAATCCTATCAAGTGTTTTCTAAAATTTAACAAAGTCTGGGCCCCTTTTAAAGGAAAAAAAAAAAATTGGCAAACACTCAGTGTTTGAATGAATAAATAATATGTGGTATAGCCATGCTATGGAATGTTACTCAGTAATAAAAGGAAATGAAGTACTGATATATGCCCCAATATGGATTAACCTTGAAAACATTATGCTAAATGAAAGAAGTCAAATACCAAAGGCCACATATTATATGATGCCGTTTAAAATGTCCAAAATAGGCAAATCCATAGAGACAGAAAGTAGATTACTAGTTATCTGGGGCTAGAGGTGTTGGGGAATGGGGGATGATGGATTAGAGGTACAGAGATTCTTTTTGGAGTGCTGGAAATGTTTTAAAATTGATTGTGGTGATGGTTATACAACATTAAGAATATACTAAATCTCACTGAATTGTATATTTAAATGGATGAATCATATGGAATGCGAATTACACCTCAAAAAGCTGTTACCCAAAGAAGCGTTGCAAATAATGTTTGTTGCATCATTTAAATATGTAAAGCATAAAACTAGATATAAATTACTTATAACGTTTACACAGATTTATAAATTAAACACAAATTATGTTACCAATACATTCAAATTAAGAATGTTAGAATCAGAGAATACTTTGTCCTTGTAACTGAAATGATATCACTGCTCACAACAGGAATATACAGTGACTACCTGCCCCAAATTTTCTTTGGTTAGCAGAGGAATATGCAGGGTGATACTCAGAAGTTAGACAGCCAGGATGGCACAGTCCCAACAAATCAGAAAAGACACTGAAAGTTATCAGAACAAACAGTAGCCATCAGCAACTCCAGAGGCTGCCTCAGGAACTACGGCTACATATCAGCCCCACCTTCAGTGGGGCACTAACCCCATTTTTCTGCCACTTTCCTCTGTCTGTTCCAACTACTGCAAAATCTTGATTCATAACTCATGACTGTGCAAAGTGCAGTCATGTGTCCTTTATCTTATTAGAATTCATTATATATATATTAAAATTTTCTGTTCTTTTTCTTCAGGGTATAACCCTTACAGAAGAAATATCTGATGGCAACACAAGTAGAAACAAGTAGACAAACACAACTGTGAACGATAAACCCAAATGACAGCGCTCAGGCAGACAATGGCCCTTCCAACAGTCCAGAACAGGCTTATTTTATCTTGTTGTCATTAGGATCAAATGAAAAACAAAATTTTTAAATTCTTATGGATAACTCTTATGGATAAATTCTTAAATTCTTATGGATAACTCTCAAAAATACATTCCTAAATTCCAAGAGAGCCACAGAACCCATTCTGAGAAACACTGGTCTACTGACTGTTAAAAATAATAATTGCCCTAAAGCAATTGAATTCATGTCTTTAATAATAATAGTTAGCTTGGCAACCAACCGGTATTGTTTTCTGACCCCAAAGCCCTGCTCTGATATACAGTAATTAGAAAGAAATAACCAGCCTGGGCAACATAGGGAGACCCCGTCTCTACAAATAATTTTAAAAATTAACCAGGTGTGGTGGTACATGCCTGTATCCCCAGCTACTAGGGAGGCTGAGGCAGGGGGATCACCTGAGCCTGGGAGGTTGAGGCTGTACTGATTTATGATCATGCCACCACACTCCAACATGGGTGACAGAGCAAGACCCTATCTCAGAAAAAAAAAGAAAAAAAGAAAGGAGGTAAAGAACTATTATTTATGGTTCACAATTCACATGCTAGGCACTTGACTCAGTATTCTGCATGCATTCATGTATAAATCTAAAATACATGTGCCAAGAAGATATTATCCCAATTTTCCTGATGATTAAAGAATAATTGATAAAGAAATGTGCTCAGAAGGAACAGGATTTGAATTTAGTTCTTCCTGATCCCAGTACTAGAGCACCTCAGTAGTGAGTGGAATCTCTCCAATCCCTACTATGAGCCTAACACTTTAATCCCATTATGGTAGACAGAATCAAAGCCCCGAAAGAGGTCCATGATCTAATCCCCCAAACCTATGAATGCGTTACCCTGCATGACAAAGGGGACTTTGCAGGTGTGACCAACTTAAGGACCTTGAGAAGGAAAGATTATCCTGGATTACTGGGGAAGAGAGAATGAGGAGGGCCCAGTCTAATCATGAGGGGCCTCACAAGCAAAGGCGATGGAGGTGCAGAAGAGTCAGAATCAGAGAAAGAGATGTTAAGACAGAAAGCAGGGGCCATAATTCAGGGACATAATTGCCAGCACTAAGGATGGAAAGAGGCCATGAGCCAAGGCATCCAGGGAGCCCCTGGAAGCTGGAAAAGCTAAGGAACAGATCCTCCGCTAGAGCCTCCAGAAGGAATGCAGCCCTGCCAACTCCTTGATTTTAGCCCCATTTTGGACTCTGACCTCCAGAACTATAAGTTTGTGTTAAGCCACTAAATTTGTAGTATTAAAACATATGTTACAGCAGCATAGGAAATTAATAGGGCCATGCTAACACAGTGAGAGAAAGGTTTGTGTTACAACTTCAGCTGTTCAAGGTAGATGTTCCAACTCT